CTAATCACAAAATGTATTATGGGTGAACATCATATCAAAATGTTATTACAATAACATGCAGGAAAAAAAAACTTACCGATTGCGAGAACCCTCAATCTTAACTTCAACCAAGCTTTTGAAATCCTTAAAGATACTCTTTATATCACTCTGCAAGAAGGAAATGTATTTAAACCTTACATGTTTGGCATAATCCTAATTAATGTCACTATTCCGCTTAAGATACGCATGAAAAGGTAACACAACTAAATAGCGCATGCAGGCAAATAAGACAATTACTACAAGATAGCGTAATAAGGGGGGACACAGCCCTGTGGCAGGTTCTAGCAACTTCAGGTTATGCGCACAGCAAAAACACAAGCCTCACTTATCGCCCCACTACCGTGCGATAGGACAAGAGTATTGGCAGAGCCTTTCTTATCTCCCCAGCGCCGCATGGGCTGGATCAGACAAGATTAAGGCAAATAAATAAGATGGCAAGACACAAGAAATGCCAAAAGCTTGGGGAAGTCACAACGCAGACCTAACCGCACCACAAGGAGTGACCCCCCAAACTTTATTGATACATAGCACAACAAAACTCCTCCATAGGGAGGGAGGGTGGATAACAAAATTACTGTAACTGTTTGCTTTCGTGCAAGCTAGACGAATAAAGACCAGGTCTGAAAAAGCAGAACTTAATAGCTAGACAGTGCCTCAAGTCTTGACCAATGAATACAGTTGTACCATAAGCTACCTAGTCTTATCATGATTAAAGTCTAGCCATGAATAGGGCCTTGAAAACAGGGACCAATCTGCGCAATGCTAAGAAAAATATGATGACAAACATACGACAAATTATTCAGGTTCCAACCACGAACAGCTTTTGTTTCTATCTTAAAATTAGCGTGCTTTCATTCATAGACCGAACAGAGCATACATTGGGGCAGGCTACCTTAGCCTACTCCCCCCTGGTGCTTCATGTTCCATTAACTGCTTTTACTATCTGGTAAATGTCTTATAAATATTATAATATTATATCTTTTAAAAGACTAACATTTAAGATAAGAGTTGGCAGACATGCAGCTGAAATATGTTCTGTTCTGCCCCCTCCTCACTAGACAGACCCCTGGGTGTTTGACTTTTTTGACAAATTTTGGTCAAATTTCCTGGTACATGTACGTTGGCAGTTGAGATGGTAAAATGCCGTACCGCCTAGCAATTCAAACAGCGTCAAGTCCCCCAACCACGAGTAACTATTCAAAAATTTTTCTCTGTGTCATATCCTACTAAACACAACTGAAATAACTTAAGGGTGCGTTCGATTGGGAAATCTGGATTTGGATTTTAAAATCTGAAATTCGGATTTACAATCAAATGCGAAATACGAAAACGGATTTCAATGATGAGATATCTGTTATTGGATTTTTATTTTTACTGTTCGAATGGGAATCCGCAAAAGGATATGGAAAAATGTCCTTAAGAACAGCGGTCTTGTATGTGCACGCAAAATTAACAAAAAGAAGACCGCTGTTCACAAGAACAGTTTTGCAAATCCTTTTTCAGATTTCCCAATCGAACAGTAAAAAGGAAATCCATGAAATTCAGATTTGGATTTCTTAATTGAAATTGACCCCGAGGACATATTTCTCGGAGGTGAAATCCATTTCACGATTCATTGCAAAATCCAAAAGCCAGATTTCAAAATCTAAATCCAGATTTCTCAATCGAACGCAACCTTAGTCTCGCAAAGCTGTCTTTTGGAGGTTTTTTTATTTTAATAAAATTTATTGTTCATCCCAGAATGCCCAGTTTTAACAGGCTTTTTCAAAGGCTCTCAAATGCTCCAACAAAACAGTGAATATAGAAGCCATGAACCATGAATGCAGGGCACATGCTAAATGAAAGAATAAATATTACAAAATTCTTTAGCTTGCATCACTGTCCAGCATTTGGCCAAGACAAAAAAGTCAAATGCCCAACCCAGCAGACCTCATTTTGGATCAAATCCCCCACTGAACGGAGCAAAACTCCAGTCAAATACCCGGTGTATGTCCGGGTGTTGGAATATTGATTGGTACATTACGCGCGTGTTTCATGCGTGTAATCAGCCATATTGTTGCTGAAAACCACGCGCGCAACACCCGTGTAAACAAATACACAACCTTACCTGTTGGCAGTTGGGAGGTAAATTCTTAACATGAATGGCGTAGAGACCTGAGGAATTTGGCATTATCTTCTTCTTGGAGTCAGATTCTTTACTCACGGATGTTCTTTCATTTTTGTTCACATTTCTAGGCCACTGTGATGGATGCAGGGGTTTTAATCCATTTGGAACTCCCATGTTCTTTTTTGCATGGTCTGAAATAAAAATTCCCTTTTCGACAACACCAAACACTTTATTTTCTCCATCCTTAGGCGAAAACTCCAATCTAGCGACGTCGGGAATAGCCAACAAAAAATCATACAAGTCTTGGAACCCATACTTCTTCACGTCTAGTTGCGAGTCATTCAATTTCTTGTAGTCCCTCGGCAAATCTGTTTGCTTGATTCCTTTCTGGCTTAACAGGACGGCCCTCAACGCAGCCTTGACCAGCTGAGGCACTTCTTTAGCCATTATAATTCATAAGAAAGTTAAAATAAGGCAAACCATCATTCCGCTAAATCCACACACATTGGTTTGAGCTGTTGTTGAATCCCACGTGAATTCGTCAGCGGTTTCCAGTATATCGCAGGCGCGACAGAAGATCAACGTTTCAATAGATTTTCAATAATTTTAATAATACAATGAAATTATCAGTTAACGAGGGAAAATTGACTGGTTTGTGAGCTAGGAACTTTGCTACTATTCAACTGGTTTTGATTTCAGAATTTGCCTTCAGGCCTGTCGAGAAACGGGCCCCAGTTCTTGTTCAAAGGTTTTGTCTTTTTTTTTCCGGAAAGGTGCTTGTTTGAAAACACAGGCGACTTGCAAAAACTAACAAGCTAAGCACGCCAGTCAGTGAAGATGCTAAAATAGGGACTCGAATGGACTGGATAAGAGAGTTCTCATGTTTTGAGCCCATCTTAATAGCTCCATCAAGAGCAATACTTAAATTTAAATTTAGGGCCAGTACATTCGGAATTGTCTGGTTAGTGAGGGATAACGGCACTCAAATTCAGTGCAAAACGTTTGGTTCACTGGTCGGCAATGAGCTATATATATTATATAGGGCGTGTGATTCGAGACACACTACTGGAAAAATTCTTTTGAAACGTTCGGTTTAACTTTTGAAGTATGTAGCGATGGACTGTCACTAAAACGAAGAGAAGACCTTGCGCATGCGTCTGAGTTGGCAGAATAGGGACCTTACGGTCCGAAAATGGTGACGCCGATGAAAACGTGGATAAAATAGACATCGCAACCTTACAAACTTTTTTGCGATTTTTCTAAGTCGACCAGTTACTTAAGAGTAACTCGAGATTTGGTCATTTCCCGTCGTAGTTGTGCAGGGAAGAAATTTAGAAAAAGCGTGATGCACAAGCAGAATTCTTGTTTAATACCAAGAGACAATGGGACAGCTGTCCAATTATGGCTCGATCTTGTTAATACTTATTACTGACTGTCTATTGCTTTGGTTCCCGTCGCCGTCGCCGTCACCATTGTTCTTTCGTAAGGTACCTAATAAGATGGCGAAGGCGTGACTAGTGCACCTTTCGCTTGACGAAAATTTTGGTGCAAAGCTTCTCTTTTCTTGCGTACAGTGTTTTAGACCCAGAGATTTCTAAAGGGCCTCGCGATAGTGCAGCGTTAACAATGCGCAGGTGTTCTTTTGAAAATGCACTCCCTTCGATTTTTTCTGGCACCAATCCTAAACACCACCCTAACCACGCCATCTGTAAACTCCTATCCATCCAATTTAAGTGGGAGGTGTAAATAGAGTCATGAGGCAGGGAATCCCCTGCAAATTCATAACAAGCATTTTTAAGAGCCCCACTTTTATTCCAAGTATTTATCACAAGAGTATATTTGACCTCCTCAAAAAACAATCACTGGAGCCAATGTGCAGTGTTAAATTCTTGGTCAATCAGGAAAAATAAGGTTGGTCTACAATGGAAATAACACGGAGGATAACTTCAGGGAAGAAAATAAAAATCTGCTGACATTTCAGGTCGACAACACTGCTGAGATTGATGGACAAGGGAGTGAAGTTGGTAAAACCGGTACGAAGAAACACGTCCTTAACTCCTTAGCGTCGCAGCAATTTACTTTCTCAAAGGTTGATAACGTTTCATATTATCAAGGCATCGACGTTATCACAAGTGTCAATCTATCGGTGTTTCTATCTGGACCACAGGCCACCCTTGACACCATGGTGTTACTGTTTCTTCAAGAGGGGAATGTCACCTTTGGTAATGAATCGCTTGCAGTGTTCAAGGGAACCTTCGTGATTAACATCAATGTTTAACTTAGTTTACTTGGCGATCACCATGAAATAGCCATTCATAACCCAAAACAATAAAAAACCGCTTTGACAGTTAGAAAGTTAGAAAATAATCTCTTTCAATCCTCTTTCAAAGAAAATTTGAGCTAATTTAATATCATAAACACCGTAGGAAAAGATACCAACGTGTTCCAGAAGTACTGGTATTAGATTCGTACCATAGATGCAGCACCTGAGGATTTATTGGAAGCTAATGGCGTGGAGAAAGACGGGATTACTCGCAATAAAGAAGAGGCTGTAAATGATAATCTTCCTACAGCTTTTCACATCGATCATAAAGTGAACTATTTACTTTTAAAGATAAAATATCTGATGAATCAAATCTTTTAACGTTTATTTTCGAATAGTCGTATTATCTTGGTACCTTGTTGCCCTTGTGATGGCAAATATAACTTTGACCTCGTTTATATGGATAAAACTTGTCACAGGTAAATCATAAAAGGGTCAATAGCCTACCCGATCTACCCCGGGCAAGCCAATGTTTCTTACATTTGACAATAAACCTTAGCAAACCGTTGACAAGAGAAGCAAAAGGTTGACTCGGCTAGAAGGGTGATCAGCCGGGTCAAACCCTTTTCTGATGGTAGGGTTACCCTCGCCGCACCCTCCTATTCGAGAACGTTTTCTCCATATAAACACTTGCTCGGCTACTTTTTGGCACTCTTCTCGTATTTCGAGCAACTTTTTGCATTCAGGCTGAGCAATTCCTCTAGTTATCTTCTAATTCTGGGTTATCGGAGCAGCTTTCAGTGCTTAAATAGGCCTTTCTTCCATATTTCACGATGTTTAGTAGACAATTTATGAATTTCCTGTCAAACAAAAAATAAAAAATGAGCCAAATCCTACCCCCTGAGATCATGGGCGCAAGATAAAAGTAGCCGGCCTACTAGGTCAGCGGTTTTTATGAAAATTCAAAATGTGGACGAAGACTCACACTCGACTGACTTGAGTGCCTCGGCCCTTGGATGTACGTGAAGAAGGTTACTCAACAATTTTATTGGCTCAGTTGGTTTCTATTGAGGACAAAGTTATTTAGCAACGCTGGTCACGCCGCAAAATTGCACAAAAATGCTTAGAAATCTTACTTTTTTTGTACAATTTGCATATTTTAGCATCAGACCAAAAAAATGTTTTGTTTTTTCGAGCACCTTTTAAGCAAATCTCGTTACAAAAAGCAACTTTGAATGGTTTTGTGAAAAACGTTTGAGCAACGTTTTGAGATATTCTTGGAAACATTTTGGAAAATCTCGAGCAACTTGTGAAAAGCCCTACTTTGGCTCGCGCAGCCTGGTGAAGTCGGTTAAGACGAGACAATCGATATCACAGCTTGCACGAGCGTTTTTTAAACAATCAGAGCGCTATTGGGTCTGGGAAAGGGGTCAGTTTTTACTTTTTTCTCATATAAACACTCGCTATACAGTTGATTCCGCTTGGAGGGTCATCCTCTTTCCCGGGGTAACTTTTCTTCACATAAACGGTGCCTAATGTTCTCCATAGATTGAGGATTGGGAATTCTGTGATGAAGAACTGAACAACTGCCGAAAGGGTCAAAGAAAGGAAACTGGTGCATTTATTGATCTTACACTTGCAATCAAAAGTAAGGGAACTCCCAGGAAATTGACCCTACAAGAGCGTGACAAATCAGGAAAAAAGCCTTTTTAATTGTTACAAGAAGGATAATACAGAATGCCCTGAGAGTTATGACATGGGCGGAGGGACCGAATTTCTGCTTAACTAAGAGGTACGATAACTCCATCTGGTAATATTTGCTTGTCACGGTTGTATTGATTCTAAATAGTTCCAATGCAAAAGTCCCAACGCGGTGTTATCTAGCGTTTTATTCTCATCTTCAAAGTTAAAGTTGTGTGTTTATTATCATATATGAAGGAAGTTAATCTCATTTTTTAACTCCGCGCCCGTATTTCAAATGTATTTACCATCTCTCTCTAATTGAAGGGTACAACACTGGGGTCAGCACTCACCGTCCGCATCAGAGAAGTGTCTCACTTATTTAGAGTAGGGACCAACTCTAAATTAAATGTCTGTGCGGTTACAAAGTAGTATTTCCTTATGCATTCATTGTTCGCGAAGACCGTGAGATTTTGGTGAATTTTACTTATACCTTTTTATATTCGCCCCATGTAAAGTAATTCAAGACATTCTTGGATTTTAGATTCCACAAGGCTACTGGATTCCAGCCAGATTCTGTTTCAGTGGAACTTGAATTCCGCATTCTAATCGTTAGCGAGATTCCAGTTTCCTAGAGCTGAATTGCGAATTCCAAAGCTCATGATTCCTCGAATTCCACTAGCAAAAATTTCCTGGATTCGGCCTTACTAGTACTTAACTGGGACGATAATATTTTAACTTTGTTTTCGCACAGGTTTTGCTTGACGGCGAATCTGTAGATATGCCTGATCTATTCCCTAAATTTAAGATGCAATTAGCAAGAAGCTGTTCATCTTCCGTATTCCCAGGTTTAACAACACGGTTTTAATTGACCCAGCTGCCAACATAGATGGGGTAGCGGGAAAGCCCATCACTTCTGGAGGTGATAGTAGCAATGGTGGCGGAGGCGTTGAAAGCAGCATGAAACCTGAGGAAGGAAGGAACAACGACCCAACTACCAACATGGATGGAGTAGCGGGAGAACCCATCACTTCTGGAGGTGATAGTGGCAATGGTGGTGGAGGCGTTGAAAGCAGTATGAAACCTGATGAAGAAAAGAACAACGACCCAACTGACAACATGGATGGAGTAGCGGGAGAGCCCATCACTTCTGGAGGTGATAGTGGCAATGGCTGCGGAAGCGAACTAGCCCGGCAGTAAAAATGGTTTGTTCGGGAAAGAGCGTTTGAACTCCTGCTTTCCGATTTACTTTTTCCTGGTGTATTTCACGCCTTTCGTTTGCATAGCAATTAAAAAAGATAATATCGGTTCTTTAATTAGATTTGATAAGAATAGAATAAGTTGAAAGCTTCTTTCTTCTCCCGATCCAGCGCTTGGCCGCGCCCCTTACAATCTTCGCGCAGTGTAGAGGAGAAAGCCCATACCTATTCTTATGATTCGAATTGACTTTTAATGACAAAAAAGGTCATGTCAAAATTAACAATATACCCTACTCTACTGGCAAGCGAAAAGAGGTAATTAGATAAAGGTGTGTGTTTTCCATAAGATTCTACGAAGAAGAAAGAAGGACGCCCGTAATGGCAACAATTAAAGGCGCTTTTTTGTACCTAGAAAAGCAGTGCAGTATTAACATGAAGCTTCTACCAGTATTGATACTCCCCCTTGGGGGATGGGATGTATGTTATTGCATCGCAGTAGTATCTCGTCGGACTGTCGAGACCGTTTTTTTGGTCTAAATGAGTGACCTTACCTACAGATGAGAACTTAGGAGTGTTAACCGCTCGGCTATCATGCTTCGATTCCACAGTGTGGCACTTAAAAGGAACGTGTCATAGAATGACGGAGGAGGAGACCATGGAGAAAGTAAAGAGAGTGGGGGCAGCCCACAGTGGAGGAAAAAAAAGAAATCGAAGCAGAGGAACCAGACGTGGAGGGTGCCGATGATAACATACCCGTTATACTCCCCAACCGGCTCTATAGTCAACATAAAAGATGTGCCCTTGATCCCTGCATGTCGATTGCATACATGTACTCAGACGCAGGCAAAAGCGTGAGATCAGCTTGAAGTGAGGCAGGGCTGCAGGGCCTCAATACCATTCTGCTGGAGATCTTCAAATACAGGGACGGCCACGACAATATTCTCCGATCTCGCCACCAAGCAAAGAGGGGCTTCGCTAAGAAATTTAGAGTCCATAGTTTGCTTTCCAACATCATTCCGGTGTCAATATAAAAAGACCAGTCAAGCCACGCTACTTTGCTTCATTCAACTGATTTTTATCAACTGCGTGATTTGCAATCTGTATAAATTGACTTCCTTCCAAGGGATAACCAGTGTGGCGTTAAGGTTAAGCGGCGTAATGTTGTCTAAACTCTGACCTTAAGACTCATTGTTGAAGAGAAAAAATCTTATGTCAGCGTTACTTATCTTTACTGCTCACAAGGCTCTTTGACTCTATAAAAACAGGCAAAATTATACAAACATTAAGGTCCACAGTGTCCCTGACTATGCCTGCTTCCCCAAGCCGCATCAAGTCATGTACCACCGGAAAGTCAGAGTTTTGTTTTTCTCGATGGTGATCATGACATCCTCATTGGACATCGTTTCTCCTTATTGTTGAACCAGATTATGCACTCAGTCCCGTTAACGAAAGTGGCACTTGGACTCACCATATAACATTCTGTTAATTATCCAGCAAAGTCAGAGTTAGGACTCTACTGCACCTAAAAAGGAATTTTATTGGCCTTATTGAATATGACGTCTAAGCCGTTACATTGCACTTTGGATACTATACTTTCCTATATATTTAATCTAAGTTCTAACTATAATCACTAGATTTAATTAATAATATGTTGCCTGGTCTACAGGCATATTATTTTGGCAAGCGAGCAATTAATTATGTTCATCATAAAGCCTTTAACTCCCAAAAATTCCTCACTTTCGTAAAAGCGCAAGATTTTAAAGAACAAATATCATCATATGAAATGAAAATAGCGCCGTGCAGGTTTCATTTGAATGATTACATCATGATCATGGGTTTCATTCACAGACTCAAACGTTTAATTAGAACTACACTAATTTTCATATCTCCATAACTTACTCAAAGAGTCAAAGAGTTCTAACCAGAAAAGATTGGGGCTGGTGTACAAAATGCAGGTAAATCTAGTTGTATCTCCACTTAGACGCAGATCTAGACTGGTTTGAGCCGTGACCGAAAGCAGTTAGCTTTCTGACAATAAAAGAAGGAGTTTAAGTTCACGGACGTTTTAGCGCTTCAACGCACAATCGGGAGACCTCTAAGACGTACCGCGCGTCCTCGCCGCTTTCGTTTCGCCCCATGCAAGGAAATCCGGATTCTGCAATCTGGATATTTTTGCTTGTAGAATATGCCGAATCTTGGGCTTTCGAATCAGGAATTCTGCTCAAGGAATCCAGAATCCCACTAACGATTGAAATCCAGAAGCCAGGTTCCACTGACAAAGACTGGAAACCAGTACCTGGAATCCGTAATCCACAGCGCTGTGGAATCCAGAATCCAAAACTGTCTTGGATTACCTTACATGGGAACTTTATCCTTTTACCTTTCGTGCTAACTTTAACGATTTACGAAACCACGATGGCACGTCATTAAATATGTAATAGAAAGTGAACGCTTGCTGATAGAGAAATGAATTCAGCCCGCGCTGCAGGCTTTGATGAATTACTTTGCAACCAAATTATACAACGAGTATATCTTATGTTAGAAAGTTACGTAATACAGACGAACCTCCATTAACCGCGGCCACCTCTCCACAATGTCCATCTCTCTGCAACTTACAACGGACGCATTGAGTGGCAGATCCAGACCTTCAGATAAGGGTGGGGTCGGCCCGGTCATCCACACCCTGAGATAAGGGGGGGCCAGATCTCGACAAATTTTTTTTTCGGCCCTTTGGGCCTCAGTTTGGTCTAAAATGAAGGGGGGCGGGTCCCCGGGCCCCTCCCCTGGACCCACCACTGGCTTTCATTTAGCGGACACTCCATATATTGACTCTTGTTTGAACCTCTCTACAAACAACGGCCACCACTTTCTTCTGTCCCCGAGGTTGCCGTTGAGGAGAGGTTCAACTCGGTTTAAAAACAACAACTAAAGAACCTTTAATGATTATCATCATGATAATAAAATACTAATTTAGGAACCGATCACTTGCTGGTGTACTTCTAATTTCACTTATCACTTTCCTTGATCCCTTAACTCCCCATGTTTGGGTCAGAGATACCACCACCTTCCTGACTTTTTGAAGTAGCTCTGCTAGTATTAAAATGGTTTACGAATTTGTTATATCCATTTTGAAATCACTGGTGATCCCTGCAGTCTGATTGGCGCTTAGCAAGGTGAGTTAGTCACGAATCACACTATTTTTTGCTCTAAATCACATCTGTTCCAAATCGCGTCATTCATGTTCTAAATCACCGAGTCATTTCTGTTTTAAATCGCACTATTTTTGCTCTATATAGCGTCATTTCTGTTTCAAATACAAAAACGAGAAGTAAAAGCCTTTTTGTTTCCGCTTCTAAACACTACTTGATCAATAAAAAAATTGGTACTTACTGATTTCCGGGATTTCAAAATGGCTTTACAGAAAGCCGCGGTAATTGAACTTCGTGCTGTTCAATTTTGGTCTGAAATCATACTTGTGTTTTTCGCGCTCGTCCGATTTCGAAATCACGCGTATGATTTCAGACCAAATTGCCCTTCACTCAGTTCAATTACTATGATTAATCACCAAACCAATCCTGAAGTAATCACTGTGGTCAAAACAATGAGTTGACTAATCAAAAATCGAGATCTAAACATACAACGGTGCCACATAAACATGGACAGACCCCTTGTTATGGGTTCTCATGCCACAGTAGATTATTTCAGGTTTGTCATTTGCCTTAATCATTTCTCTACTTACTAGCTTTATAGAGCAGCTAGGGCAAGCTTATCTTCATTTAACGATAATAGACTAAAAAATAACTCAAGATAAAGGCAAGTGAAATGAACTGAACGGACGATGCAGAATTATGCCCAGTACCATTGCCCGGTTTTTTTGTCGGGGGTCCCACGTCAACGCTGGGGTCCAGGATCGCAGTGTTGTTGAAGACGGGGATTCGGAAAATCACCTTTTTATCCATCCTTCCAGTGCCCTCCACTTTCGGAAATCCTTGTGGCATTGCAACATAATTGCCGGTGTCGATTAAAACCTGGAGAAATAGAAAGAATAAATCAGATTTAAGACAAAAAGTATAACTTTTCTCTTTGAAAGTGCCATGAACTCATTCGAAATCCCTTAAAATGAAAGGGACAAATCCAAGCATGGTGGGGCCAAACTATCCCTCAAAACGGCCATCAAGGCGTGGTACTTTAAGTTCATTTGCCATTAATTTTGTTGGCCTGCATAGGCATTTCAAAAATACGCTCCAAGTGTTAAGATGCTTTACGTTAGCTAATGTTTTTAGTTCTTTTGACGTCATCCGTTGACATGTCATCATTTCACATTTTGCGTCAAATAAAATCTTAAAATCCGAACGCAGAAATCTTGTTAATATTAGAAGAAGAATTATTCGTTGAGTTGTCTACAACCAGCTCTTTGAATGACGCTTTCTGTTTGTCATGTACTGCCCTGATGACGTAATATCAGTTAATGTGCCACCGGGTCATCAGCGGGACAGAAAAATGTCAGAAAGTAGCATTTCTGTTTGCAAAACTTTGTTGCTTTCGTTAAAAGTAATATAATATCACTTAACTGTTAACTTTTCATTTATCAGTTAACTACTAATTTTTTGGCCAATTATCAGTTAACTGTTAACCCCATTCGCACCCTTCCATAAGGGTAGCTAACACTTTCGCATGAGACGAAAAAGCCACCTAAGACTTTCGTAACAACCAAAGTTCTAACAAATAGTTTTTAGGGAAACTCCAAATTAACCAAACAGGTTTCTAAAGCACAGAGAAAACCATTTGAGACACTTCTGGCGTATTTGGGAACATTCGGTCGTTAGGTGCCCCTGATTTTATACTTTAGTTTACCGAGGCGTTTCTATTATAGGAGGGGATATCGCACGAAGCTATGGTTGTTTCAGGTCAAACAACATATCTTATGTCATTTCTTAGTGTGTTTGCTGTCAGCTTGTTTTTATTTGCGCTAACGTCACATTCGAGGTAGGCAGGCAACTCGTGTTAACAAGTCGGTAAAATATAAATGCGCTTCTCGTGTACGTGTAGACTAACTTCTCTACTTACCCCTTTATTGAGGGCCATCTTGGAGTTGCCACCCAGTTTGTAGACCTTGGGGCAGTCGTCGTCGTTCTCATTCGGGTCATCATCAGGGTCCACGCAAATGTCACTGTCGACTTCCTCTTCCAGGTCATCTGCTTCACTCTTAATGCCAAGTGTGAGCTCAAGGAATTCCCCAATTTCTGGCTGATTGCTTTGTGAAAGGCAGCTCACAGAAGCATTACAAAATGGCCAATCACTGACCTTGGAGAAGAAACAGTGGAATCATTATAATGAATTTATATGCATTAGTTTGTTAATCATTCATTATATTTCGGCGGGAACGTGCTTTAGTCTCCTTGACGAAAGAGTGTGACTGTCGTTAGAAGGCCTTACTATATGAGGGTGGCCAGTCCGGTTAGCCGGCGATCAGCCTGGCAAGTTCTGCTCGGCTCTTGCTTTTTTCCTTAAAACATGTGCCCTTAAATCAGAAGCTGGGCTGGCTTGCCCGCATATATCGGTTGCTCGAGTCTTGATCTCGGCAAGAAGGCCAACCTTCTTCTCAAAAAAAGAAAAGAAGGCATGAGCCGGCCGGCCTAACCTCATATATATAAAACCAAGCCGCTAAAATGAATTGTCCTTTTAGAACTGCACTCCATCTGTCAGCAGATCAGCAACTGTTTAACGTACGCAAGTCCATTACGGGACCGTGACCAAAGTTTTTACTTTGCGTGAAGTTCAGTATTGAAGGAACTGCCGAACTTACCTCAATGTTAAACTTCATTGTTCCACTCTGCACTCTAAACGTCTCATTGCCAAAAGTAACGTTACCCGCGCTAAGAAAAACCATAACCACGAGGCGAAGGTTACCCTGCTGGTTACTCAAAACTGATTCGGACATATTGATGATTTTCACGGGGATTCCTTGATAAAAGGTCGAGTTATCCAACGCCGAAAACCTAAACATTATTGAATCCAAAGAGTTGACACCGTGCCGTAAAGATCCTTGAAGACCAACAGGCTTCCCTGCAGTTAAACAGACAGAGAAAATTATTCACTTTATGTCTCAGCCTTAGCTGGTGGGAGACAATGATGTCAGTCACTTTTTTTTAAATCACGGTTCATAGGACTGTTGAGAGGGTGTCTACAAGGATAAATTTCTACAAGTCGTGCATAAAATAGTTTAAAGAAAGAACATTTTACGTTTTCCTGAAAACACACTCATTTGACACTACAAAGGTGCCCGTAGCAAGCTGTAATAGCACATTTGAACGGTAACGTCATTTGGCTACAACTATTAGAATCCTTCAGTTTGATTTTGTTTGCCTATTGTTTTAAGTGAAAATCTGGGCTGTTGTTGTTTAAATCTTACTTAATTAAAGTAAGACAGCAAAAACTATGTGAACCCTGGTGGTTGTAGTTCACTGAATCGATCGTCGAAATGGCCTATTGACTGTAAAAGTGTTTATAATTACTTTCAGAGTTGACGGAGCCGAAGGTAAGATGGCTGCTTAGAGAAATGGCCAAGGAGATGAGGCCGGTTGCCCCTTCGTGCCCCTGTTGGACCCCCCTAGCTTTGCTGAGAAACTTGCATTTTTAATTTCTTTCGGGTGAAATTTAAAATTTTACCGGTACATAGCTTTCTGTAAAGGGAAATTTAAAATGAATGATCAGAGAAAAGCAGTTAGACTGGTTTAGCGTACGGCTGGTCCAACCGCGTGGACCGCTTATTCTGGAGTGACATTACCTGCAAAACATCCTAACAGAGTGTGAGCTAAACCGTAGCTATTGTAACTTTGGCGTCCTTATTTCTCTTTCACTGAAGCGAACAGATTTAGCGTTCTACCAGGCTTTTTTGTATTCACTTACGATGGCCATTTCAAGTGACTGTGATTAGAAAATGTTTATGTTTTCTTTCCATCTATTTAGATCTTCAGTTCCTTCCGTATATCTTCTTTCTTTGTTTTTCTGACATTTTTAGCTTGAATATGAGCAATCATCTTCTCATTCCGTAAACCCTCGGCAAGAAATAAATTCGCCATCTTCTAAACGAGTTAAAAAACTGGGTATGATATGCGACCACGTTTCTTTGGATTGTTTGGAGGGACACCATGAAGGTCAACAAACACGGCGCGTTGCAGGTGTTGAATTGTGTGCCAAACTGCAATTAAAGTTTAGAGATGCCACCTTTCCTCACTATATTGTAGAATATTTTAAAGATCTTTAAGGTATGTCTTTTTAGTTAGGATAATCCTGAGAGCCTCTTTAACAGGTTGTTTTTGCTGTCCGCCATGTTTTTACTGTCCCTCCAAACGATCTCTAGAGATTTTCTGATCATATGTAATTCTTACCACTAGTTGCCCGCTCTTTTAAAACATAAACTCCATAACGTTAAAAAAAACGACTTACCATCACCGCCCACCTCTTGAAGTGATTCCACTTGAAAGGATAATAATTCCTCATTGTTGTCACTAAAATCTTCTTTCTCGTCATCATCGTTATTGTCTTTGCCGTCATCATCATCATCATCCGGCTTAAAATAGACCGTAGAAATTTTTCCCGACTCTCCTTCTAATAGGACGGAAGTATCACCCCCACGGATTAGCGCAGTGTTTTTAGCTGTGTCAACTTCATCAGTGGCGAAACATGATATTAGCAGTGTTGCTATGGAATAAAACAAAGTTTGTTAAAGCTTAGATTGAGGATCCAACGAATGGGCCTCTCCATGAAGCACTGTGCACGTACCCCAGAGTGGCGGGACTTTCACATAATTATAATCCTAAACGAATACAGAAATTGGACAACAGAGATTTGTTTCTCCCGTTAAAAAAATACGCGTCCACAAGAAGGGTATTTGAATCGTTAATTCGCTCGTCCACTTAAAAACGCTAATACTGTGGAACCCCGTTAATGCGACCACCGTTGGGCCATAAAATCCTGGTCGTAATAACAAGGTGGTCGCACTAACGGGGTCTACAAAATAATAAAATGCCTCAATGGTTTTTACGTTTGGTCTGAAAGAATATGGCCGTAATAAAAAGGTGGTCTTATAAACGGGGTGGTCGTAAGGCGGGGTTCTACTGTACGGTGGAAGTTTTGGAATTATAGTATATTCCCCTACCGAGCATGCGTAATGCTACTAGTATATGATGTATGACATCAAAGTATTCGAAAACCTTCTTCGTCCGTTCGCGTGGAATGAGAGGAGGTGGCGTTTCAGGAAATCTTCACCACGGAAACCGTTTTCGAAAACCTGCGTTTTTGGTGCCAAAAAAACGCCGTTTACATGTAGACGGAAGGCTAACACGGAGAAAAAAATCTCCATTTTCAAAAATATCCGAATACGTATGGACGGGGCCTATAGTTTCTAATACTAAAATAATCGTTTTGCCATTTTCCTGTTTTTTCACCAACCAATCAAAGATAAACGTGACTAGTAAACAAAACCTGTCAAAAAATAAGAGAACTCAGTCATTCAAGATATTTGGTTAAGAGCGGAATAAGGTTATGACTCAATTCATGGGAACCTTTTTAAATCAGAAGACCAGTACTAAACCAAATCTTATATCCCTAGGCCTTCTTTATAAAGTCGTTTTACACTGGTTAAGCTGAGCTTCTCCATTCTCCATTGTCTAGGTGAAATTAACAGTTTTTCTGCGACTTTCCACTTTGCAACGGAAGATCCTTGTCTGTTATTAAATTTATTCAACTTTGTTCATTTACTGATCACTTGCGTGATTACACGCTCAATACATCTTGAAGTATGACTTGACTATATTGATGTATTATTTAAAATCTTGAAGGATCGTACGCACGAAAACCTGCACATGTAATATTTTTTGGCACCAAGCACTTGTAAGGGTATACTGTGACATACTTTCGATCTTATTTGTAGCAATAAAATGCATTAAATACAGCCCAAAAATAATGAATAATTATAGTTTCAGGAAAATAACGGGGGCCATACATTTTCTATCAAGCTTCCTCGTACAGGTATTTGCTGTAAACATAAATGAACCGTTTACAATTGACTGCTAAACATTACAATCTAAACAGTTTTCTTGAGCTTATTCTTTAAAAAAAAAGACATCAAAGAAACTGGGCCAAATAATGTCAATGTTAGATGATAGTTTTTTCCAAAATCTTCAGTCATACGCCGAAACACTCTTGCGCTGAAATTATGTAGTCGCGTGCTTTCAAGTCCCTAAAACCATCCTCACGATATGATGATATTCGTTACCTATAAACGCCTAGGTTATATAGTAGACTTTTACAAACGACACATTCCAGGCGCTTATAACATGGGCAGTATTCTTCTTTCCTGGCATATCTGAACCACCAATTATGAAAATAAATTTTAAATTTGTCTAATTTAGCCATTTCCAAGGAAGGGCAAATATCGTTTCTTTGCTATCTATTAATTATTTTAAGCAGACCAAAAACCAAACGACGCATTACAAATGAGCCTGTCCGCTTAGATCAATAATCATTGGAGGGCTAGAATCCATAGGAAGTGTGACTCGCTGGACTACATGACTCGCCGGAAAGGGCGTTTAAAACTGAAACCAAATATATTGCATGTTCTAGGATTTTTCCTTAAACAAGAATATATTATTAAATGCTGCAAACATTTTTAAGCTTTTTTTTTTTCTCAAACTTTGTATGGTTTTAATTTAATATTGCGTGAATTCCAAGTCTGTAGTAGACATTGAGTCTGTCGGACTTGAGAGCTGTAGAGGTTTCATCAGTTGACGATTTTAAGAGCTATTGGGAAACTTTTTGTTCTCTGTTTCATTCACTTTCACGCCAACAATATTATAATCACCTCCAAGATATTGAAATGGGAAATATTTTGCTGGCATTGGAGAAGAACCTAGAAACTCACAAATAAAATTCATCATAATTTTAAGATTTACTACTGCGTTTTTATTAGTTTTCACAGGTATAGTTGCTGCAATTACTGGCCGATTTAATAGTGACTGTTTAGCTCTATAATACAGCTATCACAGCAGAAATTACTAAACTTCGCCTTATGGCCTTCCTGTTTGTTTGAAATTAGACAGTTTGTGAGGACGTAGAAAATTTTCAACAGTTGACGAGAATTTAAGCGAGTACTCATGTGGTCATTTCACTTGAAACGACAGTGCCATTCTTATTAGGGCGCTTTCCAGAAGTCAGAAAGGGACGGCCCGACCAGTCATTTTGAAAATGAAATGTTGATATTTTCTTGAAATTTTAACTAAAACCCATCACTGCTGTGCACGTTATTTAAGGCCTAAATCGATCTGGCTGACGGGATAATCCTGTCTAGTTCGACTTGACTGGTCTAGCCCACCAGTTCTGGCAAATGGTAAGCGCCCTCAGATTAATTAAATGCTGAAGAAATTTTATTTTCAAAGAGCATAATTTTGTTTCTGTTTCCAAACGAGTAAACCGATAAGATCAATTGCAAGACTTCAGCTTGTTCGCATGAATGATCAGTTTAAATATGATTACCGGTTTTGAATTATTTTGCTTCTTCCTTTAAACTAGGAAATTAAATTGACTGTGGTTAATTTACTGTACCAAAGCGAGCAAACCGAGATACCAAATCCTTTTTTAATTTGTGACCGACATTACTAGCTAACACTTACCAAGGCAGGCAATGAACAATCCAGTTCTGAAAGACAAACGGAACATCTTGGTTCTTCAATTTATAAGCAGTTGTCCACGCTTACCTTACCGAAGTACAAAACTGAAATGAATTGACCACAATTACACGCGTATTAATACAGCAACCGACGAATAAAAAAGGCTAATTAACAATTCTCGTGTTTAATTATGATGTAAATGTGGCGGGGTCTACTTAATCAATACTCTTTCTAGTTTCTCAGCTATCTTAGAATTATCAGTAGAGTTAAATTGTTTGCATGGCCAAAAATGATAAATGTATTGTACATTTTTAGAGATAAATCTAAACCCTACAACAATAAACTTCTATATAATTCTTTTAGACTTACTTTAGCTTTAAAATCGTGTTGAAATTTTTAAGAAATATTGGTAGCTTTATATTTCATGTATGGTCTATTTAGGGTAAATGACTTGTTTGGAGCCCACAGAAGGCAATATTCGATGGTTAAATTTTGAAAAGTCCACTGGAGCAAACAAGGTTGCACGGAAACTTGGGCTCCACGCCACAAAGTCTGAACGAGAATGTTTAAAAATAAATAAACGAATTTATGCTCAATGAAAAATGAAGAAAAACCGGATTTAAATGTGGATGAAACCATTAAAATTTCGCCGTTTAGAGGGAAAAAATTTGAACATCGAATCAACTTGTTTTTTGGTAAACAAATTTCAAAATTGCGTGTCTACTTATGCAAATATCAACTAGCTGAGAAATAATCTTAAATGAGATCATATGCATTAAATGGAACTCGATAAATAAACCTTTTGAATAAAAAAGGGTCATTAAAGTCCAGTAGCATCTAACACCTTTTTAAGCATTACGTCATAATTCTTGGTCTGATTGATGTACCGCACCGCGTTAGTCTTACGCTGTTAACATATGTTTTAGCTAGGCTTAGTCAACATTTACCTAAAGTGAGAGTTATAATCTAAACCTAAAAAAACTAAGAAGTGGCTTAAATTATTATAAGGCAAGACTCACGGTTATGGCATTTTCATTATTTATCATTATAAAATGTAACGAAAAGTTTCGCCAACGTATTACGTTCAAATAAGATCTCTCGCAGTCAAAACACTGCAATATCTTGGTGATTGCCTCTTTCAGGTTACCGATCTCTCTGTTTTTCAATTAAATCATCAGGCCGTTTGCTCTAATATATTCTAAGCTGTTCTCCATGCAAAAATAAAAGCACCCTCTAACAAGCAAGATAGTGCACGTGAATCTTAGACACTTGTATTCGTCCTTTTTAAAAGATACTAGAGAGAAGTCGTGAGAAAAAATGACGATTTCAGTCAATGACCATGGTGGTTTCGAGGCCTTTGGGATATTTTACTCCTGTCTCAAGTTCATTTTGTCATTTTGAATGTTGTTCTGACAGGCTAATGACGTTTTTACTATCTGTTTTAATGGTAACCAGGACAAACACTCCACATTATCATTAATGGAGCGGAATACTGAAGTGCTAGACCCTCAGCCATCTGCTGCATCCGTGGCGCGGCGTAAGCTCTTCATTACTTGTTTTCTGTTTGTTTGGGTCAATTACAGAAACATTTTGCGATGGTTGTTTTGATAAATTAAAGGGCACATTTGAGAATTCTATTCTGGGTTTATTTGAGCCACATAACTTGTTATGAAACTGTTAAAATATCCGTTATGGGTGATAGTTGCTATAGAAATTTAAGTTACTGATAAAAAAACAAACAACACACAAAACAAAATTAAACAAATAAGGCAAATTATAAGAGAAATCACACACACAAATAGTTTGATCGTTATGGTTTTATGGTTTGTTAATCTAGGTTGCAAATGCTGTAGGAACTCTATCGAGACTATCGGAGGCGAGCCACTGACTTTGGAAAATCCGCCATGATTCATAATCCTTTTAGTCAGCGGATTGACAGAAATTATTTTTCATCTTATCTAGGAAAAACCAGAAATTTTTATTGCGGCTTAAATGGGGCACGTTATTATATGATGAATACATGCTGGAAGACTAGTTCCTGTCTTTCCCCCTTTTCGCCTTCAATTATTTCTTGTCTTTGTTACTAGTAACAAAAATAAAATGGCAAGTAGATTGACTAGAGCATATTCCTCGAACCGAAGTCTAACTGGTGAAAACGAGGTTACAGACAGCTAACTGCACGTGATTTTTTTTATTATAAGGAAAGGTCTGTGTCCATTCAATTCCATCAGTGACGTCTTGAAGTAAGTGGGGCGATCCGCTCATCCATGCAGTCCTTAAGATAAGAGCTAGGGAGGGAGAGGAGGGGAGTTCTAGCCTGGAAACTAATTTTTCCCAGTCACGCGGGCCTCAGTTGGACCCAGTCTTTTGGACAGTGAACAAAAATAAAAAGGTAAATGAATAAATAAATAGGGAGTAAGTAAGGAAATTGGGAAAGCTCTTGCTCATTACATGTAACATTTATGTGCACTATACAAAGGAAACAATACTGAGAGAGTTTCAGTTTAAACTTCTCCATAGACGAATCGCAACCAATAATGTCAATGATTTTCTCTACACAGTAGGAATTAACCAGTTTTGTTCTACCACCTTCTGTGGAGAAGCTGAACGGAAAACCAGGTTCTTTTATTTTGGAACTGTAATTATTCTAACGCCTTTTGGAAAGATTGCTATGAATGGCCATGGAAAATGCAAAACATCTCCAAAATAGAAAAAATCAACCAGTCTGGAGTTCTCTTATTCAGCTTTATCAACGATGCAAAAGATTTACTACGGCACCATTGACTGCTTATCGCTAGGCATTATATTTACACCTGTAAACAAAAGGATACGGGCCCAAATGTCCAAATGTGAATACAAATAGTTCGACACTCTGTGGAAATAGAAAGGCCAATCGCCACAAAAGACAGGTGCTCAGTCAAAGAACGCGGTCGGAAACGTTCGGGGAGAACTGGGGATTATAAATCCGCTTCTCATGCGTCAAACTTGTCCACCATTTTGCCAAAGTCCACTTATAAAATATCTGCAAGGATTCGTGATTTTCATTGTTAATGCTTAGATGGACCTTACCTACCTTCTTGAACTTTTTTGTCTCCTAATCGGTGAGTTATTTACCTGTGAACTTCGTTCTGGTTTTCACTAAGTTCAGTGTATTTAAATAAAGGCTGGTCGAGTATAGATTATTAAAACTAACTTAACTTTAAAAGCCAACCCGGCCCATATGGGTCAAAAATGGCAAAAGCACATTTTTTATTACCAGACTTAGTTAACTTAAAGTAGAGCTTAATTGCTTTTTGTATTGGCTCTTTCGATGCCATTTAAACTTAAGCTTAGGTCTTGTAATGAAAACACAGCTTTACTAGCATATATTTTTAAAAAAACTAGTTTACCGGACCCAAAAAAGGTGTCGGGAATTTCGAGAAATGTGCCCCAGGTAGATACACAAATGGATTTCGCCAGATCTCACAAGAAGGTACCTAAAACCTCTGAGACAAAGGATTAGAATCGCATCCTTTAGAAGCGTTCAAGCAGTAGTGGTACTCCTTCACGCACACTACAAAACCGCTGAATCTGCTAAATGAAGTGTTTGTTCCTATTTCAGCTGTTCGCCCTGTTCTTTCGCACGGTGGATATAATAACGACGATCCTGGCAAACAATTCGATGTTGGAGGAGTATTTTGCAAAGCCCTTCACCACTCAGGAAAATTAATGTGTGTTAGGCCACGCAAAGAAGAAAGAGGCGACTTTTCGGACCGCAATGCCGATCGTGTTGTCGTTGAGTTTGACAGCCTACAGGTAGGGATTTATATTCTGAATTTGAACATGTTGTTAACTAAAGTGATCAGCCGTGCCATCAAGAGAGGAGGCTTGCACCCAAATATATTTTAAAGAGAAAAAATAATTGCCAAAATATTTGGTATTTAGTCACTTATTAGTTACGATATACTATTCAGTTTATTTATTAAAGCAAGAAACATACTAGAAAAATAGACAAGAACTTTTAGTAGGTATAAAAATGTGTGTGTATTTAACGTTGATATAAAACGGAAGCTAATGTAAAATGAATATAAATTAAAATGTATATCCTCTAAACCTAGAGAAATATATGCCCCTTATATATATATATATATATATAACCCTAAACCTACTGTGTCCTTGTACTTAGTAAATAATATACAACTATCTCCCGAGGGGGAAGAGAAAAGTGGTAACTATTACCGTGAGGCGCAGCGTCGAGGTATATATCTAGCGCCATGAACCGACCCTGAGGGGGATAGTTGTTTTAGAGTTTAAAAAATCAGTTGGATAGAAATGAAACAAGTATCTTTTTTTACGATCTTGGTGCAAATTCAGCATCAAAATCATTTTCTACCTACCAGTAAACACTGACAAGCCAAAGTTCGTGGATTTCTTGGTATTTGCTTGAACGACTGCTTCATTTATCGCTCAAATTTCGTCTTTTGAAAATGTTTCGAAACGAGACACCATCTTGGCTCCGGTCGCAAAACAGTGAATAGCCAAGGATATTCCGAGATACGGGAGCCAATCAAAACGCGCGAAAATTGAAATTGCTATTCACTGATTTGATAAATTAATTAAAGAAAGAAATACCTGAGCATTAGTTTTATACGGTACGTTATTTAAATTTCTATAGCGACCTATAAGTTGAAATAACTTCGTTCTAAAATAAGGGATGCTACTCGCCTCGCTAATGACTTGGGGAATACGATTTCACAGGTTACAGCTAGCATATGAGAAAATTATATCTCGAAAGCGAGATTTCAGGGAGCAGGTCGCTCCATGCGCTTCTCACGGCCTCTGATTTATACTTACGCTGTTTGACAGTGGGCAAGTTATTAATGTACGAAGGTCCCGCTTACAAAGCCCACAAAACTACAACAAGAACAATAAACAAAATAACAAAACACAAAAAAAGAAACTAACGTCGCTGGAGTGAAAGGTCAAAAGCTTAAACATTACAGTAATCCAAGCTCGTGATAGTTAGAAGTTAGAACACTAATTTGGTCAGAAATGAATCAAATCTTCATCTACAGGAACGAAACAGGGGTGGAAACAGTGTCGGAAAAGTCAGTCGCCGAGGGCATTTGTTCAACGCGTTTGCTGATCAAGATTTTACCTTCTCGCCCCTGGAACTTGCTAATTACCAAGGACTGCGTGTCAAGAACTTTAACTTCACATCCACGCTCAGGGGACCAAATGCAACCCTGACAGTTATGGCGTATATGTTTCAAGACGAAGGAAACATCACCTTTGGTAACGAGACATCAGAGATGAGAAAGGGCATGCTCAAGTTTAACATTCAGGTAGAGCGGGGGATTGTTAATAGAGACTCGATCAATTCCTGAAGATATCCATCTCCTCTCACTTTGCAGGCCCCATTCTTAACCTCGCTTCCCCACAATAATCCACACTTACTATTTAATGTCACATTTTTAAAGTATTCAGCCTCCTAACTCTCAATTTCACTCGACCAGCTACATTTAATAAGCATAATGAGCCCCAAACGTAACGAATACATATCATAGAAGGTTACGGTACGATCCGCCGTAAGTTCCCGCCTTTGGCGACCAACCCAAGAATACCCCAGCCCTGGCGGGTCTAGGAGGACAAACACACAGTTTTCCCATTATCAAACCAAGCGCATACAGTCCCATTTTGTAATTAAGTTCAGATATAACGCGCACTATGATTGGTTGAAAAAGAGTATTTTATGAGAGTATAAAACACGGAGCTAAAGCTGTCATACCAGGTTTTGAAGGTCAGCTAGAAGGCAATGCGTCGGGAATTTAACGGATTCTTCATCAAAAACAAATAAAGAAACCTTAACTATGCTCTGTTCTGTTGTGAAACACTAAGGAGGCGGCTAGAGTACGAACGAGATTAATAATGGGGGCTACACGTACACGAAAGAGGTAGGGAGAAACACTCGACCACGTCTCGTGTTCGCCCTACACTTCTTTCGTGCTCTAACCGCTTCTCTCGTGCTTTACAACAAGCCAGAACACAGTCAAGGTTTCTATACTGTTAAGAATGGCAGTGATGATAATTAATAAAGGCCTGCAATTTAGTATCAAAAAGACTTAAATTCAGGCAAAGAGGTTTCACTTTTATCTCCGTTTTCAGATAGAAAACTGGAAATTTTGCGGTAATAATTCACACGAGGATGATTGCAATACTGGAGATGAAGGAGAGTTCGTAGATGCCACGCTGGTCATTAAAAGTAAAGGAAAACCCAAGCCTCACGAGGAAGATGAAATAACCAAACCAAGAAAGCATCGCCGTCCAAGATGCTTCAAAAGAGGGAAGTACAACAAGTGCCCCAAGGAGTTTGATATCGGAGGAGGTTCGGAAATGATGCTCAGCTCTCAGGTAGGTTAAATATGGATAACGCTTCAAGAAATTCAGTTTGGAATGAATTTAAATTGAACAAGGCTTTTGGATCGTTAATTTAAAGAGGAATATTTCCCGGAGCAATGGAACGTCTGTGTTAAAAAAAGTCTTACTTTTTTCTTGGTTACTGAATCATTCCAATTCTGCACACTCACCTGTGATGGTAGTTTTGGGGTTTCGCTGCCGTTTTTATTTATCTGATTTATTTATTTTTGGCCTGCATGGGACTAATTTGTTCAAGTAGTATACAACTTTCCCCCAAAGGGGAGTTTAATAGTGGTGGTGGTAATATACCGAGACGCGAAGAGTCGGGATATGTCATCTAGAGCTCTTCACCGACCCTGAGGGGGATAGTTCTTTTAGCATTTACCAAATCAGTTGGATAAAAATGGAATTGTAACTTAGGACCTTTGTTTACAATTTACAAACATTTTGTGGATTTTGTCAAGTGATTTTTACAATTTTGTTGCAAACTCAGCATGAAAATAATTTTCTTCCTACCATTTAAACATCAACAAGCCAAAGTTCGTTGCTTTTCTAGACCAGTTATTTCTTTGTACGACTGCTTCATTTATCGCTCAAATTTTATCTTCCGAAAATGTTTTGAAACGGGAGCGTTATCTTGGCTCCGGTCGCAAAACAGTGAAAAGCCAAGGATATTTCGAAAACTGGAGCCATATCAAAACGCGCGAAAATTGCTATTCAGTACTTTGGTAAATACTAACAATTGCTATCCCGAACGGAATTTACCAGTCCCATGCAGTGTTTACATTTGCCCAACCATGAACCGACCGGTTTGACCATGTCCAACCTCATTCATTGGGCGGATATCAGGCTAGATGGGATATCGATCCAATTTTAAGTAACGAGTACCGTTAAAATCCGGGGGATTATAAGCCGTTGGGCTCATGCATGGGGGTTTTGGATGGGATACACGCCATGAAAACAACGTCTAAATACAAGCTGATAAAAACACGTATTATATTTCACTGCAATTAAAAATTAAAAATTATAACTTTAAAGGGGAACTTAACAAAGCGATATACGGTTGAACCCCGTTAATACGGTCACCAATAGGCCAAAAAAATTTGGCCCTTTTAACGGGATGGAACGAGGGGTTTTTTACAAGAAAACGTATGGCGGTTTTTGCCAGGCGGCCGGAAAAAAAGTGGCCGTAAGGCGAGGTTTCACTGTGTATATAGACACATGCAGAAAAAGGGGAAGGCTTATAAGCCGGGGTTACAACTGATATTTTACGATATTGATATTAAGTGGCTGCCGTTCAAACGATAGGATAAACAAGACGCTCCGCTCCTTAAGGCACCTAAATCAGAGCGCCACACCTGTTCTTTACTCAAGTCGCCTCCCCCGTGTAAAAACATCCTAGTCGTAGAACTTTGTTCCTTTTGATTTAGGTAACGGTCGACAACGAAATACGAGACATGCCAGGGAATGGTGACTATCCGAAGTTCATAGAAAACGAAAACAAACAGAAATTTATTTTTCGTTTTCCAAAAGCTGTCAGTAGAATTCTTTATGACCCTGGACTGGAAGTAGGAGAGGATTCCGGCTGTGGCTGTGCTATACCTCTTCACTTGGCTGAACTTTTGTTCCTTATCTTCTCTGGTTCCCTTTTGGTCTCTTGACGAGTTTAAGTGGATTATGATTGGACACGCTTTATTTACCTAAAAAGTGCGAAAAGGGGAAATTCGTCAGTGACGTTTCAGCATTTAGAAGTTACCTCAGTGCACGGTTGTGTTGGGCTTACAGTCAGTCTTTTAGACGTTTGTCCTTATTTCATTTTCGTCTTTATATGGTGACAAATTAGGCCACTAAAGAATTAAAGATTTTACTTGAATATCAGCAAAAGTCTCACCTTGTCTTGAAAGTAAGAGCGGCAGTCGAATCACGTAGAACGTTTGAGCATTTCGGAATTGTTTCCTCCCAGAATTCACAAATAACAAGGTAATGAGCTGGACAGGTAAACAGAGTTCCTTTCCTGATATCCTAGGCAATACATAGAAATATTCGAACTAGGCTCTTCCAAACTGCCGTGGACCAGTTCACCGATGGCATAACTAGCGGCCTGCAGTCGACAAACAAACAAACCCGTTAGGCGGACGGACCATTAGAAAAGTGATAGGGGGGGAGGGGGAACAAAAAAAAATCATGCAAGGGAAAATGCCAAGAAAAAAAATTCATGCAAAGAAGAAGGTAAAGGAAAAAAATTCATGCAGAAGGAAGGTCCAATTGTGACTTTTTCAGAAAGTCTGAGTTTCAGAAATCAACAATATTACCAGGCACAATATGAATAAACAAAAATCAAGAAGACAATTAGAACCTTGTTTTTGTTTTAAATTGCAGCTAATGTACCTACAACATACACTGTATACTGTATTATAATAAAAATAATAAAATAAAATTTGTAATAAATAAATATTAGAATTTGGTAGCTTTGAAAATATTCTATAAAATTATTTGTGCCCACAATAAAAATTAGAGGATGGGTCTTACCGCCTTGAATAAGAATTCTATGATGGTCTCAATGGGATTAACCGATAGGCGTAAAACGGCCAAAAATTTAGTCGATAGCCGTAAAAATTGAAAAATTTTAACCGTTAGCCGTAAATAGGGTGAAAAAGAGTTAACCGTAAAAGAAATTGTTACCTAGATTTGCTACTTTTAAGGAAGGTGCTAAACTTACTTATGGTTGCGTTTTTTATTTCCCGGCTAGTGTGACTCCGTACGCACGTTAGGCGAAGCGCCTTTTAGGTGTTAACCAAGACCTAGGCACAAACTAGAGCTAGAAATTGATCATCCGTCTGAGACTAGCCCGTGTACAGTCGCGCCCTCCCCACAGACACCCCTTCTCCGATTTTCTGGGGGGGGGGAGGGGGCGGCTGTACACATGCTATCTGGAGCGGATAATCCCGTCTTCAAAAGTCAGGCGGATTGTTCATTCAAAATGAAAACAATTCCATTTTCAGATTAAGACGTATTACCTATGTGACGCGAATCAACAAACGGATAACCCGTCTCACACGAATAATCCTTCTCTAGTGTGAAAACGGCCATTTCTGTTATGATGAATGTCGCGCCCCGGCCTTGAGTTGGGCGTTTGCGTGTCTGCTTTTGCTTTTTCACGAAGATTATTTTTAAATTGACTATTGACATTTCTATGTGTAAAATAATATTAGAAGTGGAACACTTTATAAAAAGTATGATATATAAAATGAATAGCTTATTTCATCCCGAGATGATCCGAAGACCTTTATTTTGATTTAAAGATACAAAAAACTACGGGTTAATTAATATTTAACTTTTTGAAACAAAAGAAGTTAATTTTTAACTTTTTCGTTAACCGTAACTGAAAAAAATTAACTGATAGCCGTAAAAGAGCCAAAATTTTAGCCGATAACCGTAAAAGCCACCACCCCATTGGGAGCCTCTTCTATACTAAAATGATAAAGTGCATTCACACGTAGTAGTAAGTGTTAAAACTTTAACTGTCAACGACATAAACAGCAACACTGCCACCGGTACTTTTAAAAAAAATTAAGAACCACAAAGTATGGTTTTCATTGGCAGTCAGTCTATCTGCAACATACAGTGTATCCTGTATTATGATAAATATCATAAATACATTTAATTATCCATAAACAGTTTTAATTTTAAACTTATAATGTCAGTGGACATCTTCCCCCGTCAGGGCATTTTGACAGAATGCAGCCAGCTACCAGACTATGTGGAACTCTCACACGAAAGGTGAGTCTTACATTTATTCTATTTTTTTTAGTGAAATATAGCCTAAGTTCATTTAAGTTATTACAGAGCACCATAAAAATTAAATGACTTTTAACAATCATTTTATATTTCACTTTTACTAAACAGGTACCTTCTTTTTGGATTGACATTTTGGAGTGGAGGGACACTACAGAGGGGTTTTTTTGGTGAATGGAGTATGGCATTATTATGATGGGCTGTGGGAGAGGAATTTCAAAGGGCAGGGACTGAAAAAATGCACAGGGAAGCCGTCCACTCCAAGTGGCTTCCTCCTCTCTCACTGTGTGTACATTTTTGAAAAGATTTTGCATTAAAGTGGCCTGTATCCTTTGATCTGTTGTGAGTGTAGAATGATTTATAAAGCACAAAAACATAGATAATGAATCAAGATTTCACTGTTCAAAAAAAGCAATATTTGTCTGAAAAAAAAATTCGTGCAGAGGGGTTCACCTGAAAAAAAAATTCCTGCACAAGCAGTGAGCGAAAAAAAAAATTCATGCAAGCTGAAAATTCTCCACACTCCCTCGCTACTTACAAAATTGTGGATCAGTCGGAACAAAACAGCAAGAGAAGCGGCGTATTTATAAAGTACAAGATCATCGCTATCACAGCTATAGTTTTGCTAGTTGTTATAACTGCTTTGGTTCTCTTAGCAGCCTTCCTTGGTCCTGGTCGTAAAAAGTTCACTTCGGTGGAGTGTAGTGAAAACACTGGTGAGACGCAAGCATCTGCTAAGTCAGGTGAGGTTCAGTAGTGACCAAGGTGGCTCGGTTGACCGAGGTGTCAGTTAATATTATACGACCGATAAAATCTGCTGAGCGTCTTTTAAATACATGTAAGTGTTACTTACGTTTTGGCATTACTGCCTTCATCAGAGATCCTTTTTGCTTAAAACAGATCAGTTTTGTTCGTTCATACGGAGGGCGAACGAAGTCAAGCCCTTGAAAGCGGCTTCTACAACAACCGAGATGTCGTTCATACAGACAGTTCGCAACCACGAATCGCTCTCCGTTGAAAAGACATCGCTTTCATTAACATTTATCGGTCTATTTGGTTGGTTTATCGTCAAGATTTTTTTGGATCATGACAGACTATAAATCGTGTTCGACCATAGTTGCGTGACGTTGGAGGTCAGTCAAAGAATAAACAAACAGTCCTGACACATAGCCCTGCGAGTACTTGTTATAAGGATTGCTTTGGTTTCGGGAAATGCGCCTCTGTAATTTCGGGTTTTGTCGTCAGTTCATGTAGGGACGTGTGCCAGTACAGTTTGTGTTTTGGATATCGAATAGCACTAAGCACTAAGTTGGCGATAGCGAGAAGGAAAAACATAAGCTTCAGCTAAAGACCTTTGCTTCAGCTGATGTTATACAAGATATACCCCGGAAGGGGGAGGGGTGGGTTCTGGGAAAATTCGGATAAGACGTAGTCACGCAACGGGACATCCAAAAAACGGCTGCGAGGGAGACTAGATAAGATGTTTCACTAACGAAAGAACGAACAAACGAAAGAGTGAGTGAGGTTATAAACTAATTATAATGAAAGCATAAGTATGCAAGTTTCTTACTCGCTAGGCACTGGTTCAACCATGCGGATCCTTATTATATTATTATATTTAAGATCTTGAAAGTATTTTCCTGTGACGTCTGTCAGTAGATGCTGTTTGAAGCTGGTGGAGCTGTGTTTATATCATGAATTCAAAGATATATTTGACGAAAATTGGACATAATTATTTGTTGTTGCTGTTATAAACTTCCGTCCTCCTTTTCCCTGCAAGTTTTTTTGTTGTTGTTGTTTTTGTTTGGTTTGGTTTGGTTTCGTCCGAACGGGAAATTCATTGCACGACATCTCCGACATCTCTTCGTAACTGGATTTGTCAAAAACACTCTTACAGTCACAACCCTTCTGGTCATACCTCCGTCCGCAAGCCTTAACCGACAATGCATCCACCAGGCATACTGGTTATCAAGCCTTTTAACTTCCCCAAGTTTGCATTGCAGGTGACGAGACCACTCAGCTGTCATGTGACGTGGCCATAGTCGGTGGAGGTGTTTCCGGTCTGTATGTAGCCGAAAGTCTCCTCAGACTCCAGAAAGAGACTGATGTTTGTTTGTTTGAAAGAAGTGATCGCTTTGGTGGACGAATACATGATTACTCTTTTCAACGAATGCCTGGTGTCCCAGTCAGTAAGTAGTTTTGCAAATGACATTAAGACGGAATCGACCAGGAAATTGAGTATATGTAATTTTCAGTGGACACAAACCTTGTACCAGAATAATTTAAAGAACAATTGCATTCTTTTTTTACATTTTTCAAGAGCTTAAGATGTAATTAGTCATCTGTAATAACACCAAAGAAAATTTCTCATGGGAGCCCGAGAAAACGAATGTCAAATTTCACAAGAATTGTGAAAACACAGGCAAATTCTGAAAATTTAATGCGTAAGATGTAATTTTGACATTCATTTTCGCAGGCCTCCATGAGAAATTTTCTTTGGTGTTACTGCAGATGACCAATTAAATCTTTAGCTCGTGAAAAATGTTCAAAAGAATGCAAGATGCTTTAAATTATTCTGGTACAAGGTTTTTGTCCACTGAAAATTAAAATACTCAATTTCCTGGTGGATTCCGTCTTAAATATTTCCGGTTTGGAAATTTTTGTGCTCTGCAGAAAGTTTCAAACAGGACTTGAGTTCACATTAGACAGGTAATAAACAAGAATTATTAGTCCTTTTGTGGGTGATCAATCCATCCTCCGAAACGTGGGTCGCTCCATTCAGGGGCACCCAACGACAATCTTCGGAAAATACCTGTTCGGAAGAGGATTTGAGATCTAGAATTTTCGGAACATTTGTTGTAAAATTTCTTGCTTGGCTGCCTTTCCTAGGATTTTCGAACATCTAAAAAATGGTATAATTGTCTATTTAAAACGGATTTTTACCCTAAAAAGGTCACCTAGAATTTCTGGGATCCTTTTTTCTGGCTGGAATTTTTGAAAAGGTAAGTTTTGATCCCTATAATTTTCGGATCACTAGACTTTCAGCTAGGAAATCCGAACAGATGAAAAATTTTTAGGGGATAAAAATATGCCTATATCTACCGTTTGACACTAAATGAATCGGGGTTATGATAGGAGGTATCTTCCTTAAACAGGGTACATGTAGCTATTTTAGCCTTTTCTCCTGTTTGTGTACTTTAAGGTCTGGGCGCGTGGCGAGTGGAAGAAACCCACTCAAAGGTTTGGTAAGTAACATTCCATAGTTACTGCTGCAGCTACTCGAAAACAAGCGATTCTTATCATTATATCAACTCCTTGCATATCACGTAAAAATTATTCGTATTTGTTAGAAAACGGACAGCCTCTCCGTTTTTCAGCGGCTACCGCAGGATCTTTCTCACTTCCCCCAAGAAATTCTCTAACTCCACCAGTTTTGTTTTGTTTTGTTTTGTTTTTTTTGTTTGTTTTCTGTTGCCGCCGCAGTTGTTGTTTGTTTTTTTTTCCGTTTCCAATTTTATTTTTAGAGACCTTTAGATTAGAGTCGAAGATCGGGCGAGGACGACTACGAGGACTACTTTGACTTTTTCTCGCGTATTCGCAAACAATAGTCAACCCCGGAAAGCTTTATTTCCTTCTTTTACCAGATACATTATGTTGCCCAGTATCCGGACGGTACCAGTATTCGGACACTTGAAACAAAAACTCAATTTTTGAGGCGCCCTTTTCAGTTCTCGGTAACGAAGTATTTCGAATGAAAGCTGAGCATTTCAGCTTTAAGATGAAAGTTTTGGCGATTTGAAAGCTTGCGAAAGAGTCGCAGAAGACGCCGTTCTGTTCAGGGGAGTAAACTTTTCATGGCTAATATTTACGCTGTTTACTGCGCAGTAAAATTAGTGCTGCCCAGAAAAGGGAGGGTAGTGTGTGATATTTTCAAAGAAACTGTTTTATTTTTAAAGTGAAGATACTAAAGGAAGTCAGGTTTTCAGAAAGTTTATTAATTCTTCTTGAAATTCGATTTGTTTGGAATAACGGAGGCCAGAAACATTCACTAAGTATTGATGTCAGGTGCCCAGTATCCGGACAGTTTTTCATTTGCTGTACAGAATCGATGAATTAGCTGTGTACATTATCCGGATAAGATTTATCTCATATCAGTAACTATAATTAAAGCTTAGGATATATGATATAGTCGTAAAATGAAATTCTACTCAACTCCGTATGGAAATTTTCTTCACTCATTCAGAGGCGACTTGATTTCGTGTGCACGGCTTATTTCGCGTGACTGCATTTTCTATATATAACCGAAAGCGTCTGAGTTGAACTTGGAATTCTCATACTTTCCCCAGTTGTG